AAAAAAAAGCAAAATAATCAGCTCATATCCTGACTCTTGTCTTTTTTTTTTCTTTTTCAATCAAGTAATGGTTTGACAAAACTGCTGACATGAAGCATGTATGACAGCATTAATGAAAACGTCGCTATTACAAATTCATCAGCTCCACAGTCACCATTTATCAGTACAGGCTATCAGGTTACTGATATTTACTGAAATGAATCAGCATTTTTTTAAAATATCAGTGTACATATACCAGAGTTACCTCAACAGCTAATTTCCCCATGTTCATAAAAATAGAAATGAAGTAAAAGTAATAATTTAAGCGCTTATTTACCATGTACTATATAGATAACATAACTTGACAGAGTGCTTCGTCTGTGAGTTCATGTTTGTATTTAGTCATCATCTCTGAAATGTATGTTGAAATAGTATTGATTTATTGTTTTTGTATTTGAACAACATAGGAAATGTAAGCAGCTTTTTCATGCGTTTCTCCTCCCAGGAAGTGTTATTAGCCTTTGTGGAAATGGGCTAGGTGGAGGGGAGCAAGTCTGTCTGGCTGATTGTGAAAAATGAGATGAATGTCTAATTTCCTCTTCAAGGTTGGCGGGGGTTGTGAAAGACGAATTCTAATGATCTAACTAAATGTGCTGTTCTTGCTTCTAATAAAAATAATAATAACAATAACAATAATAACGGTCATCAACATCACAATATATGTTTCAGATGTTGTCTCAAAGTAAATTTCATGCTTTAGGAGCTTATTGGTTTGAGTCTGAAACTAGGCTGGAGAAGCACTGTATCAGTAGAAGCTTTCCCCTCAGGGACTTCCTATCCTCCTTTCCCCCCCCAATACAAAACCCTCATTTCTGCTAAATCAAAAAGAAATATTCAAACTACCCATAGGGAACATGAACTCAACAGCCTTTGAGGTTTATCAGGTTTGTTGTTTTGCCGCTCCGAGTCTCTTTTTATTGTTTTATTCCTGCTTTTTGTCTCTCGCTGGTGTAGGGTATTTATGAATATCATCAGAATTCTTATAAGCAGGCCTGTCAGACCATCTGACGTGCTTTTTGTCCTTTGGTTTGTAGATACCTTGTCTTCCTGCAAATTAAGAGAGACCTCTACCACGGTCGGCTCCTGTGTAAAACCTCGGATGCGGCCATGCTGGCTGCTCACATCCTTCAAGGTAATGGAAAGTGACAGATGGAAATTACTTACGCCACTCTCTGCTTCGCACTCTGTTCATGACCTCTGTTTTACCATGTGCTGTAGTTCACCAATCTGATGAATACTGCCAGCCAGGCAAATAGATTTTTATGTGGAAAGAAGCTTAATTAGGTGATAGCGTGAGGATGTACAGTATAATGTTCCTCAAATGATGTGCCTGCAGTGTTTTTTTTTTTTTCATTCACACATAAGATTGTCTATGCTTTAAGACATTTAATAAACATTTCACAGTCATCGGATGTGATTTTCTGATATTGATTCTAAAACTCAAACAAAGAGAGGTTATTCTTTACTTTGTATGGTAGTTACTTCAGTGATTTGCACACTAATAAGAAGAAATCACGCTCAATTATGAAGTCTTTGAAGTGGTTATCTGGCATCTTATCATCACATAAACAAACACAACACACATGAGGTTCTGGTGGCACGGATAACATCACAGAAAGCACTGTTTGAGGAGAGGCAGGTCCTCTGGAGGAGGGGCTGATGAATTAAAGATGGGCTGCCTGGTCAGCTCCTCCTTGCGGAGAGAATTCAGCGTCAGGGTCATCCGAGGGAGCTCAGTGTGGCATGAAGGAACACAAATAATCCTGGGCACGTTAGAGGTATATGAGCCTGTCTCCACTGGCAAAAGCACCACTGTGCTGAAAACTATCTAGACATCATATTTAACTTTTATTTGCTCTAAATGTTTTCTGTTAATGTTTAACATTTAACTTATTTTTCTGATAATTATTTTCTTATTTTCCCTCCTCCAGCCGAGATTGGTGATTATGACCCTGGGAAGCATCCCGAAGGTTACAGCTCCAAATTCCAGTTCTTCCCTAAACATTCGGAGAAGCTGGAGCGCCGGATTGCAGACATACACAAGACAGAGTTGATGTAAGGGCCAAAATATAAAACTACACCTCCACTCTCAGTTTTTTTTTTTTTTTTCACATACCTGCAGATCCTGCACTCATACAGGCTGAACAAACACCACTCTTCCTCTGACATTTATGTAATTGACTGCAGTAATGAGGCACCGTTCGTCTCTATAGTGTTCCCCGGACAGATTATTGTCGCTTATTTGAGCAAATGGCGGAGAAAAGCACTCTCGTCTTCTCCGCTATCCACTCAAATAACTCAGGTCAGATTGTCTTAAGCTCATAGCCTACCCTTTATTACAGCCATTAGTGATGGGCACTGGCCCAAGCTCCAACTGGAAGAACAGCAGGGCACAATAATCAAAGTGATCAGATAGACAAGGTCAATGCACACACACACTATTCTCACAGTCGGCAGGTGAGCTTATGAAGTGTTTCATTCATACACTGACTGATCAGTCCAACTTCCCCAACTGATTTGCTCTAAAATAAGTGTTTAGTCAGTTATAATGTAAATGAGGGACTGTGTTATATTTCATAATAGGTAGTTTAAAAGTTGCTGGTTGGAACAAACTAACTTCCTCAAGAAAAAACAAAAGATGTATGTTTAATGATGAACAGTGAGACACAGGAGATGCAGAATGACATCAACAAAGTCCAGTTTGGATGCTGTAGGAGTAGGGCGACAAACAGTACGAGACTCTGCCGCCCACTAGTGGTTCTTTCTTTCTTCACCACCAAGTGTAAACACTGCTTCACTTGAATTGATTTGACAAATTGAATATAGCCGAGAGTTGAAGCTGAGATAAACAATAAGTGCTTTTTAAAGTACCTCATTCCATATTTTCTTTGCCTCAGCTGCTCTTGTTATTGTTTATTCTTGTTTGCATATAACCTCTGTCTGCTTCTTTCACTCTCTCTAAAGTGTGTAAATGTATCGCATCAATGGAAATTAATTTGTGCGTGCCTCTCTCGCAAGTGTTTGGCCTTTCAAGACTTTTATGTTACATTTTTTATGCTTATGGTGGACTGACACAGATGTTCGGTGTGTTGTTGCTCTCCCCCAGTGGACAGACCCCTGAAACATCAGAGCGAAATTTCCTGCAGAAAGCCCAGATGCTGGAGACATATGGTGTTGATCCGCATCCATGCAAGGTTTCTCAAGCACTTCTACACTATTTTTAGATATAGTTTTAAAAACAGTTTGAACAATCATAGTCCAATAGAATATGCAATACATGCTAAAACATGTGGCTGATTTACATTTAATCGTGTTTAAATGTCTTCTTTTTTAAAATGTCTTTTTAGGATGTGTCTGGGAACCCAGCTTTTCTCGCCTTCACGCCATTTGGTTTTGTGGTGCTTCAGGGAAACAAGAGAGTTCATTTTCTAAAATGGTGAGCCAAATATGCAACATTCTCTGATGTGTGCCAGAGACAGCTCTCTCCTCAAGTACTCGCAGGAGGCAAATAGACAAACTCTTCACTGTGACTTTGATTTTCTCCTGATCTCACATACAGTATGTCAAATAGGGGGGTCTACATTGAACAGCACACACACTACAGCTGGTTGTACAATGACAGTCAACAAAGCTCGTCCGTCTGCTTCTACCTGTGACCAGAGCCGGCAGCTAGCATGTGCACAGATGGCTAATTACACCAGTTAGACCAGGATAATAGCTTGAAACCAGTTTGTGGTAGAGGCCTACTGATTTAAATTCAGCAAGATGCTTTATTGACACATTGAAAATGTATACAACATGGTGCATCTCTGTGTAACATTTGTCTTTTTGTCTGTTTGCCTTTAACTGAGGTTCTTGTTACAATAATGGAGACAGACCTATTATGTTTGCAGTATTTATTCTGGGTTTGTTTGTTTGCCTTCTGCAGTGCTCAGGTTTCCCCCCACTGCCTGTCTGCATGGAATATTATCAGTTATTTGTTTTGTCAGTCAAACATAGAGCTCCGTGACTGTTTATGTGATCACAAAGCGTTTTGTCATGAATTTTTAAAGAGGCTGTGGCTTTCTGTTTCCGCTCAATGTATGTGTAACTGTTGCTGCTCTCTCTCTCTCTCTCTCCTGAACAGGAACGAGGTGACCAAACTGAAGTTTGAAGGAAAGACGTTCCACGTATATGCAAATCAGAAGGAGGTGAGAGCATAAATTGTTGGATGTGCATGTTTTAATGACACTGCCTGCAGAGGGTGGTTCTCTATTTCAGTTTGTTATATTTTCCTGCACGTTCTCTTATTTTCAACGTGCAGGACGAAAAGATCATCTTGACATACTTTGCGCCCACACCGGAGGCATGCAAGCACCTTTGGAAGTGCGGAGTGGAGAACCAAGCTTTCTATAAGTAAGTCCATGTATTTCTTCAATTTCAATGTTTCTTTAATTCCCCCCGCACTGCCATGATTAAATTACCTGCTCTGCATCCTTGAGCGCTGTCAGGCAGGTTACCGTCACGGTTCCTTGGTGTCCTTAAAAGCCCTTTCCTCTGGGTTGTTTTCAGCGGGGAAAATGAGGTGTGAGTTGCCTCTGACCTTTTTAGTGAATGCGTGCGCGCTGGCACGAGACTGCAAGCACTTCAGTGCTCCCTCTGAGATATAGCTCCCCTGTCTCAGCAGTGAATGATAGTGCATGTCGCCTCTGCTCTCTTCTGCTCAGAAAAGGTGATTTAAAAAAAACAAAAAGCAGAGCTCAAGAGCTCAAAGGCCCGGGAGTGGTGTAATAAAGAGTCGGGCTGATGGCTCAGGTGATGAAGGGTGTGTGTGGGGGTTAGCAGATGGAAAGAGAGAAAGAAAGGGGGCATTGGAAGGGCAGAGCATTGATGGTGTTCATATGATGTGACCTTTTAATGACTCTCTAAAGTGGCAGATAATATTTTATGCACTGTCCACTAAGATCTTGCAGTAATAAGGAGTCTGGGGAACTAAAAGGCGTAATAAAGATAATCACACCCACATATCCCTTGAAAGCAAAATAAAACATTAAACATTAATGTCTCACTTACTATGACAATATAAACATATTGAATACTGTATGGAGCCGTGTCAAGGATGCAGTGCCTATAGTGAAAGGAGAGGACATGCATAATTTAATCACTTCTCTAATCAAGGTATTTGATAGTTCCTGCTTTGTTCTGGGATTCAGAAAGCAAAGATTAAACATATTCACCATTCAACAGTGTGATCATACGAACTTAATTTTTCTCTTTCTGTTTTTTTGCTCCATCAGGCTTGATAAGTCAAGTCAGGTTCGCACGGTGTCCAGCAGCAACCTGTTCTTCAAGGGCAGCCGTTTCCGTTACAGGTAGAGTACACGCCAAGACAGTATGACTGATGACAGGGAGGGGAGAGCTGCAAAAAATCCCCAGCTGGAAGTGGAGAGAGATGTTCCCAGAAGACGTGGCCTCCTGGCCTTCTGTGCTGTAACGTCAGCCTACTGTTGCCCGGAGGATAGTACTGACACATCATAAGATAGAGGACACAGAGGAGACAATGAAGGGGACTTGATCACATGAGGCATTATCACCTTGTATAAGCTTTAAACCTGCAGTATGGCCAAGATACTGTCCTTTATTAAAGGATCAGTTCACCCAAACTGTAAAAAAAAATTGATATCCAGCCTATGTATAGTTTTTGTTTTAATTGCTCAAATTTTGTCTCTGAAGGTGAATTAAATTTAGTTTTTAGTGCTCGGCATTGAAAAAATACATTTAATATTTTTTAACAGTGTTTACATGTCATTGCAGAAAGGATGTCCTGGTTTCTTTGGACAATCCATAAACATTGCTGTGAAGAACTTTAATTGGAACTACTTTAAACTAAAGAAATAGCTCTTATTTGGGTGGTGGAGGCTCATGGACATCTGAAACCTTAGCAGTTAAAACTAAAACTATCTGCATAACTTATACAACTAGAGGTATATAAGAACATATATTATAATGGATGATCTGCCTCTTTAAGAAGAAAATAGTCATATTTGGCTATTGAAAGGTCAAATTGAAAGGGATGGAAATCAATTTTGCATTATAAATATCTGATAATATCTATATATAGAGACTGTATATGACCTGAAATCACAAGTCCAGTTAGTTAAATATTGAGTTTACCTTTTGAAGGGCAAACCATGATCATTGTTTTGATATTTTTGCCTGCAAGTCTGTGTGTGCATTTGTGTGACTGGTGGTAATTCAGTTATGCAAAGCTGAATTCACCAGGTTATTTCTATCATGATGCTCATGTACTGTGCTCATCCACTGCAGTGATGGCTTTCATGGCATTGGGTGACACTAGGGTGCCTGGTTGTGTGTGTGTGTGTGTGTGTGTGCGCATGTGTGTGTGTGCGCGTGTGTGTATGTAAACTCATCCTGAGCATCGTCTCTGTGCTTTATAACAGTGGACGAGTGGCAAAAGAGGTGATGGAGCAGAGTGCCAAAATCAAACGCGAACCTCCAGAAATACACAGGTAGAGTTGTAAACTCAGGAGAGGTCAGAACGTTCTTGATCAGATTTTTCTTTCATTTTCCTCCATTTTCTTAGGCACCAAGCTACTGTAGATGTCATTATATCAGCAGCACCTACTGGCTACAGTATGAGTTACCTCCACTGGTAGCTGTCTCTCTGTACAATGATGTTTGTGCATTTGTGCTGTGTTTGTCTCTGCAGGGCTGGCCTCGTGCCCAGCAGAAGTTGTCCATCCATCACCCACGGGCCTCGACTCAGCAGTGTACCACGCACGCGTCGGAGAGCTGTGCACATATCCATCATGGAGGGTAAGAACCAAGCTTCAACACCAAGCAACAAATCCCCTAGCGGTCATTGTGTTCTTTAGAAGCCTTACAGTGAGTATTGTATTGTTTACGAGTCATCCTCTTCCACTGAAACACGTAATTTGTTCAGGAAGTAGTTATGATCCCACTCTTCGGATATAATCATGGATAATGCGTTATTACAACAACAAACCGGCTGGCACAAAATAAATGAATTAGGGAGCCATTAGTCCTGTTTGTGAGAACTCCTCCTCTTCTTGAGAAAACACACTTGTGCACACACTGGCATACACACACATGCTGTAACTAGAGCCATTTGGCCCAGTTCATGCTTACAGCACTGGCAGGGCATGCTGCAGGTGTGTGCGTCAGTCAGCCTGCTCCATTTCAATGCAGGGTTTCAGAGCTTCTTTGTGTGTTTGAGCAATTGTGTATTTGATGTCCCAACACAGTGGCAGCTAAAGTCACTTATTCAGCCCACCTGCAGGCTCTTCGCCCAGAACAGGTGGCCTCACTTCCTCTGTTACTGAGATAGACGCAGCAGGTGTATTATCCAGCCTGGCTCTGGGTAAAACCAGCAGTGAGACCCTTTCGCCCTGCCTTTCAATACTTTAACTCTTTGTACACTAAGATAAATAGAAGTCAGAAGCAGGTGTACTGTGAATACTGAGGGTCCTTTTCTGTGGGGTCAAGAGAGCCATAAGAGCTTCCCACCCCCAGTGTGTGCTGACTGGGTGTCTTGCAGTGGTATTAATACCCCAGCTGAAAATAACTTGGGTCTTCTACTCCATGTATGTCACTGGCCTGGGTGGGGCCAAACCAGGCCAGGCCAATGCTGGCGATTGTAGCACTGCTGCAGAAACACACCGTTTTACCTCACACACTCCTCTCCACAAACGGCAACTAAGGCAGAACCTTTTGGCCTAAAGCACACACAGCAAGACTGTGGCCTGGACTCCGGGACAGGGACCATAAGGACGGGATAAACACGTGCATGCTACAACCATGGTGAAGTGTCTGATCCGTATCACCACCCGGGTGAATGTCCACCTGCGTATGATCAACCATTGCTACCGGGATGTGAAGGTCCGCGTGCTGAGCCTGGGGCCTCGTATGCTGGGCAAGGCCCTGGGTGTCCTGCCCCTCTACCCTTCCCTGACAGGGCAGCAGGAGTCTGCCAGCATCACCCCTCTTCCTGGCACTCCGCTGCCCTGCGTTCAGCCCAGCAACTCTCCAGGTAAACTCACCACAGAGTCAGCCAGGAGTGTGCTTTACATGGAGATGCCAATGACTTTCTCTATTCTAAATCAGTCTCTGCTGCATCAATGTTGGCGGGGAGGGAGGGACACCATTCCTCTGGTCGTCTGTGTCTCCTGGAGGTCTCTGTAATTGGACAGGCATTTTAGATTTTTATTCTTGGTGCTTTTGTCTAGTGCATTTTGTTGATTTAGAGTAGAGGACTCTTTATGTAGCAGCTGTATTTGTTTCCAACCAGTATCCAGTATTTCAAGGTGTATGGTGTGTTTATTTGGTGCATGCATTTCCTTTAAAGTTATGTTATAGTGTTGTAGATTAAGACCGCTAAACATGGGAAATACAACTATACAAATACAATTAAAACAATACCTTTTCCGCTCACTTCCTCACTGTTATAAGCATAACATAGGATAAGCTGAGGCAGATCATCACTGGGTAAAGATGGCTGCTGATACTCATACAGCCGTTATGGCTCCTTCTTTTCACTTGACAGGAGTTTAATGTCAGCAGAGGCTTAGACACTGGACATAATCTGTCCTACTTTTACTGCAGTTTTTAAGAAGTCCTTTTCAAGATTTGCCTCCTCATCAAAAGATGAATTTTAATCCCTGCTCTTTATAGTGAAGGTGTACTGTTGCTGCTCTGACACTCTAGAAAATGTGATGTCGTCAGCAAAGGGCTCAACTACAGCTCATCTTCACTGACATGTACAAAGTGGGGAGGCTCTCACATACTGTACTGTAACTTATACTGCAGAATGAACAGTACAGTTGTACAGTAACAGTAAGGTATGCGTCGTGGCTTGAAGCTAATGCATCATTGAATAGTTTTTATTCTTCTATGGAGATAACTTCTGTACTATACTCCCTTTAATACCTACAGTTGCATATGTCCATTGTGAGCAATGTTGCGCAGTCAATGAGCAATTACTGCTTCATGGCAATATTGGATTTCTATATGGTTTTAGCATCAATCTCATTTAGTAACTTGATTTGTTAGGTGTTTAATCTGCTTAAATTAGACAAAAACAGACATTGCTCTCTTGTTATTTAGCGATAAACTGATTTTTCTGAATTCTTTTCCTTTATCAGATAACAGTAGAAGGTTTTTCCCAGATAGCTTACCCCTAGTTGTAGGTTAAATATTCTTGTGTGTCTTTTTATTTTGGTTTGATTTAATTAGGAAATGCAAGTGTTCTACAGGCATTAAAGAAAGGGGTTCACAGTTTTTCAAGTCTATCTTAAAACCGCACTCACACACCTGTATGTACATTGAAACAATTTGTTGTTGCTGCAATTGCTCCTGCAGTGTACTGATAATACCACAGTGAGATAAATTTGTACTAAAAACACTGTAATTTTGGAAAATATCCACTTGTCTAACTAAGACTGGTAGCCTCATATTAACTTCAGCTGAACTTTTTAATGCAATTTTGCATCAATTATTCATCCCCCCCTTAGATTGGAATCTCATTGGGAAGAGATATCTTCTCAGCCAGTGTGGATAAGGCATATGAGTGTTGTTTTAAGTTCAAATCTATCCTTTAAACTAAGAATACGTCTTGTGGTTTGTATTTGTAATGTTAAGAATATTAAGCATCCTTATATAAGCTTTTAAAACATTGATACAATTGTAAAAATCCAATATCCCAAGTGGGATCAGTGATGTAACCTTCAGCACGTGTTTGTTGAGAGAGGATGTTGGCTATTTTGCGAGGAAGTATGCTTGGCTTATTTAATTGTTTCTAAAGTATACTTTATCTTAATGGTTTTGTTTACGCTGTGGTTGTTGGATGAGATCTACACTTCCAGTGCAAGTGGAACATGATGATTTCCTCCGTTAAAGATACTGATTAGGCATCCCATCGGCTCATGAGCATTCTGTTCAATGACAATATTCCGCCCTGTCTGCTAACCTCTAACATTTCAAACCAGAACTACAGAATATTGTGTCTGTGAACGTCACTCTAGTATAGTGTATTAATGCCATGTCAGTAATCTTCATTCATTCTGTTTTCTTCCTGTGTGTTTCCCTCCTACTCTTCCTCCCTTAACCACTCCAAAAGGTCTGGAGTCGTTGCGTGACAGTGCCCACTCTACACCGGTGCGTTCAGTGTCCCATGGGGAATCCTTCATGCCACGCTCCCGGAGCCAGGCCACGGACGCCAGTGAGAGGACTGCGGTGATCTCGGACGAGGCCTACAGCCCCTCCGACAGCGTCCTGCCCACCCCGGTGGCCGAGCACAGCATGGAGCTGGCTGCCTCGCGCCAGATCAACGGGGCGCCCTGCAGCATCGAGGAGGAGAAGGAGTCGGAGGCAGGCACCCCCATGCAAGGGGAAGGAGGTGATTTTGGTGCGGACGGTAGATCTGCACACGAAGGGGCGGGGGGTGACTCTGCCCTCAGCGAGGTGGAACAGGTGAATAAATTTGTCTTAAGTGTCCTCCGTTTGCTCCTTGTGACCATTGGACTCCTCTTTGTCTTGCTCCTCCTCCTCATCATCCTCACCGAGTCAGACCTTGACATTGCATTTTTACGTGATATCCGCCAGACCCCCGAATTTGAGCAGTTCCATTACGAATACTTTTGTCCCCTCAGGCGGTGGTTTGCCTGCAAGCTCCGCTGGGTGGGCGGGTTGCTCATTAACAAGTGAGAGTGAGGTCGTAGAGTTCATAAGCCCGTTCGGGGGTCTGGGAAGACGGTTAGGACTCCGGAGCGATGGAGGGCAGCCTCGTCCCAACCATGAACCCTGCTTCTCTCATCATCCTCCTGCAGACATACAGCTTGGACCACTCCTGGTAACACCGGGCCAGGATCTCTCTTCCTCTCCTCCACTTTGAGTTAACCCCCCCACCCCCACCAAACCACCTCCTCGTTTCGCTTGTTTTCTTCTCCTTTTTTTTTCTACAAAACCAGAAGACTTTTTTTCCCCCCTTTTTTCTTTTTTATTTCAAGTCATTTCAGGCATTTTATTTTTTCAAATAACACAAAGGAAAAAAATTAAAAACTGAAATCAAAGAACTGAAGAATTTTAAACAGTTCCTTTTAAAGGAACGGAAAAGTTTGTTGCAACGGATGAACGTTGCCTTCATTTATTATTTATTGCTTTTAAACATGTATTTGCATAAGAAAAGGAAAAGAGATGATGGGAGAGAAGTTGATCTGAAATTAAGATGGAAGTAAGTTATGTGATAGTTGATAGGCCTACTGCCGTGACACGTATGTGAGGCGAAGTAGTGTAATATCTTTTGATATTGATTCATCCTCATCGGGAGTCAGCTAGACAAACAGCAGATTCACCTCATCAGGAAAAACAGAACAATTTGAAGGGAATAATAGTGAAGGTTCATGAAGCAGAGAACAGACAGGGTGACTACCAAATGCCTTTTACGAGAAGATGCCCATGACTGTTGGCAGGTTTGAAATTTGTGGATTGTTTTCGGACACAATTACACTTACAATGGTGTACAACATAAACTGGTGAAAGATTAAAGTTGTTTTATAACATTTTATAAGGATACAGTAAAATAAACCAGTACCAATAGTGTTATGTGACCCAGTAGTGTCAGACGCGGTTAGTGAAATATTCATGACGAAGAGAAAAAGATTCACTGGCACCAATAGATGATAGTCTAGATAGATGTGCAATGCTCATACGGTTTTAATAATTATGTACTTTTTGAATGTGCTCATTTGTTCTGTTGTTCTGTTATTTCTCCAATTCATTTGATTTGCATTTTTTTCATCAAGTTGAAATTCGATGAATTTCGATAATGTCTTTGTATGAAGAGTTTATCGTTCATTTTGGTTTCATATCAACCTTGCTCTTAGGTTTATGTATCATACTATATTATTATTATTAGAATAAGAATAATGATGTACTTTTTGTACAAATTAGTTTGTTTCCTAATATATATTGACAGGTTTTTCATGTATATTTTAACAGAACTGAAATGTTATTTTGTTATTGAAGATTAAATTATACCTTTTTTAGCGCTGTGTTTCAAGTAAGGTCAGAAGCATTTATGGAAATGTGGAAAGGGGGGACTAAAAAACAGTGTTTTTATCCAGATCCACTTAACACTGATCACACCTCTCGACACTCCACCAGCAGTGAATCAGCCTTCAGTGTGTGTACAATTTTAATGATAATTTTAAACATGTATTTGTACAGAATAAAATCTGGAGATGTCATTATGCCATCACAAATACCAAATAATTCAAAAACACATTTTCATCTTTTATAACATCTTATTTTTACTTGAAGAGTTTGGAGAGGTGACTCTGAGCCTGATCGATACTGGATCTGCACTAAAAACTAAAGACTTGTTCCTTGACCCACAAAGTCTGTTGTGTAACATTTATTTGAAGACTTGAGCTGAAACGATTAGTTCATTGATTGGTAGAAAATGAATTGGCAGCTATTCTGATAATCAATTATAAGCAAAAATACCAAACATTTCTGGTGTCAGCTTTTCCAACGTTTTCTGCTTTTCCCTCTGTAATACTGTATCGTAAAATGAATTGGGTTTGAGTTCTAAGAAATTATAGTGGGTATTTTTCACTATTGTCTGACACTGTCTGATAATTAATCGATTAATCTAGATAATAATAGGTAAATAATTGTTAGTTGCAGCCCTAAACGAAACATGTTGTCACCAATAAATTAAGAATGAACAATTAAACGTTATAATCTTTGGTTGGGGTAACATCGCAGTCTGTTTAACAAACTACAGCATGTAATGCAGATACCAGTTAATCTGTGATAAACCAATATTGGTCAATAATATCTGCCCCTTATATTTATCGGTCAGGCTCTGGACTCTTCTGCCTCACAGCTCCAGGGAGCAATAACTGTCATGGCTGCTGGATTCTGGGTAAAATCTGTTTTTTGTACTGGGTGTCTACCTCCTGTACCAAGTGCAGGTGTAAGTGTTAGTATGTCTGTATGTAGGAATGGAAACAAGATTCAAGGTGATTGAGGTGGAGATTTTGACAGAGAGGGAGAAAAAGTCATTATTTTGGAAAAGCCGAGAAGGACTTAGAGGAAAGAAAAGAGAGAAAGCTGTAGAGACTGAGAGATATCAGAGGCCTTCGAGAGAGGTTCAAGTGATCAGTCTGCTTCTTTGAAAGTGGTATAGAAAAAAACAAATTGGATATGAAAGACACTTGGTGACTCATCAATCTAATGGCTGTACAGGGTTGCTTGTTTTTGGCCTGCTATTTCAAACACCACATTCTCATACCAGCATCTGCAGCTGCTCCACTGAAGCCCCGATGGTGCTACCTTCTTTGTTTTGCTCCTGTGTAATTCGAGCGTGTCAGTCCTCGGCTAAATTGTAGTCCTGACCACAGAGTAACATGCACTTTGGCGTTGTGGCTGGATCCACTCCTGTAGCTCATTATCCCTCACAAACTGCGGTTATCTGTGGTGGACGGGGCAGCACCGACATTTCCCAGCACAATGCTAGAGGGAATATCAAATCATTAGAGCTATGTTAGCAAGAAACCTGTCATGCAGACGGTGTAGGAGCTTATTTATGTCATGTGAATCAACTTTTGACTCGGATACATCCAGTAAAATAGCAGATGCAAAGATGAAGCACATTTTTTCCCAGTGGTGTGGAGCAGGGTGGCCCGGTTGACTTTATTGTGTACATTCATGCTTCATATTTATTACTTCTTTACGGACATGAAAGGTCAACATGACCGACCAGTCCAGCCAGGCTGTGTTGTTAGCAGGACATCGTTTAAAGGTCAGTCTGCAAAGGTGTTTCTCATACATCTATCAGCATTATGTAGCTTCAGTGGTCTCTCTGAACATGCAACAATTAAGACAAAATCAAGGCAGCATTATTCAAGGAGCAATAATCAGCCGTGAGAGCAAAAATATGTGATTTACAAACTTGTGTATGAAAATCCGATGATTAAGAAGTCAATTATGTCCTTTCTGTTTCTAGAAAAAACACTTACCAAATTGCTGTTGTGCTGACTCTAATGATGATGTGACCACTGAGACACTTAGTTGCCGTTGCATTGATTAGTAATATTTTATAAAAGATACCCCATTTTCCTTAGAGACCTCTTGTGTGGATGTTTATTCTGCTGTTTTCTTTGCTGTTTCATTTTTAAGTGACAGATTGTTTTCTGTGCCTGGATCCTAACTGCAGTTTACCAAAGTCGCAAAGATGAAGGAATGGAGAACGAAAGACACAACATCCCACAACAACTGTATTACAGACTACTCCATCCTTAAATCTCCCAGGCCGAGAGGGCAAAAACAGTGTCCATCTCTGTCTGAAACCGTTTGTGATGTGCACTGGTCAGGCCCGAAATCTCTGTCTTAATTTGTCTTTACAGGCACGATTCCTGTGACAAACCTGACTTTAATTTTACATTTCAGTTTGCTGTGTCATGTTTACATACTTTACAGTTCTTTTTACCTCATGGGAGATGGCTACAGTTTCGGCCAGATGTGACTTTTGATGAACGAGTGTGATTGTCATCCATGGTTTATAAATTAGAAACAGCTCGTCTGTCCCTGAAAAGCAGCAGTGAAGGTGCAGCCATGCAAATACAATGTGGTCCAGTGGAAGATTACGCATTGATCCTTGTGGTTAAATTTGATACGCAGGGGATGGACTCAATAATAGAAACACCCACGTGGTATAATGTAATGCCATATAACAACCAAGCAACAAATCCTACATTTGTGAAACTTTTGTTCAGTTTTTACAAATGCAGCATCAAACAGATGTTTCGGTTCATTTCAGTCATTTTTTTGCGGTGTTATCGTACTGGACTTAACTGTGAGGCGTTCTTGTTATTTTGTCTACCCCCTGTGTTTTCCTACATATTTCAGCAATCATAACATAGGTAGCTTAAAAACCAGTATATGTATGACATAATGAGGAGTTTCAAAGAATGTCATTAGTTGTCCTTCAAACATAACTTTTGAAAGTTTTTGTTGACATTTATGATGAAAAATAATTACGTAACCAATTTAGATGATCGAAAGAAAGCGATTTATATGCAATTAGCTACCTAAATCTCATTCCTGGCCACGATCCCTAACACATGAATGTGGATGATGCATGTGAGGGATGAATGGATGAAACTAGTCGTCATAACTGAAGACTGCTTTTTGCCCTGGTCAGCTCCCAGTAGACAGACCCTCACACGACCATGCATACACGTCAATAAGTGTATCTGCATATCCATGTCTGGTGGTGTGCTATGTAGTCTGCATCGTTCTACCCTGGGATTGAAGATTGCTGTTTAATTACGTTATATATACAAGTATATATATATATAAATCCATGTGCCAAATCCAGTTCTTGTTCAGTCTGATCCATTCCGAACCCATGTTTGTACTGTAGGTAACCTTCTGTACAAGTCAGTATAAAATATTGTTTCTCTCCAATAGTCCCGTGTAACTGGTGCCATTAAATAAAACTATTCAAACTTGAAATAAACATTGAATAAAAATGTGTGATGTGTCTCCTTGTGGCTTTGTGGTACAACACAAATTTAGCGCACAGTTCTGAATGTAGAGCAGTTGAAGTAATAATCATTGATCGAATGTAAAATTGTCTTTAATATCAAAAATGAAGATGTACATCACAATGGACAGTAAAAAAACAGACTTTACAACAATTATAAAACCATGTACAAACAATCAATATTTAAATCTGGACAGACATCACAACAGTTACTGTACAAAGCATAAATATTACAATAAGTCACATTAACTGGTTTGAAAATGTAGTGACAAAGTAGTTTGCTATCATAGAAAGTCAGACCAGAAAACACTCCTAGCCCAAATGTGAAAAGGATGGCTTTAAGAAGGGTCGCTGATTGGTTTGGGGGGTCGGGAGGGACATTAAGCCTGGTGTCCTCCCTGCTGATGCATCTCCCGCTGAACTCCTATACCCCCGGCCTCTGGAGCTGGATGATGACCACGATTTATTGCTGCTGTAGCCACGACTGAATCCACAGCACAACAGCACGACATAAGAAAGGAGGGAAAAAGGAAACAGGTTTTGAGCCATGTAGTGAAACTTATTGCTACATCCCCCAACTAGATGATAAACTGTGAGACAAATACACTACACACCCTTTAGAGTTTGTACTTGAGTTGCCATATGCTTTTCTCTTCTTAGAATACTTGAAAAATGGAGCTTTCTTTCTCTTTTGTCCCTGTGGGGCCTGATCACGGAAGTAGGTGGAGGACTCTGTGTCGTCCTCGTCATCGTAATCTCCTGTGCGACCTCGTGTCGTGTCTATCCACCCGTCTCCGCCAGTGTCAGTCTGCTCTTCCGCTACAGAGACAATATAGACTTAATACAGAATGAGGTCGGAAAAAGCAGAAACGTGCTAAAACTATAGTCTCTTACCAGGCAGCTGCCACTCAGAATATTTCTGCAGGACCTGAATGACTTCAGCTCCATACTTATCCAGTTTGTCTTCTGTCACGCCATCAATTTGTAGCAGGACTTCAGGGTCAGAAGAAAGCTTCTCTGTGAAAAAAAGAGTTATAAAATGCAATTTATATCACATGAGCTGTTATGCCTTTCAAAAGACAGTCTTAACTACTTTTTCAGTAATTACCAGAGATGTTTTTCAAGGTGGCAGTGGCGAAGATGTTGTAATAGTGAATGCCAAACGCTTTCCCCAGCTGCTTGCACAGATCCGTCAGCTCCTTCAGACACTCCTGAACCTTCTCCTCTCTCTGGGAGACATTCTTGGCCACAGAAGCTCTATGTTTCCTGATGCTTGATGCACTTTCTGTCTCGTAGAACTCCACCTGCAATGAGACAAGTCCCAGTAATTGTTTTGATTAATAAGACTTAAGCCTAAATATGGATCTATAGTTA